TTTTTGGGTTCTGGCCGCTCACGTACGCGCATGTACACACACACGCGCGCGCACACACACATGCACACATGCACATGTGCACACGCACACATGCATGCATACACGCACACGCACCTGCACCACCATCACCATCACCGTCAGTATGTCGATGGGATTTCTCGTTGATGAGGCAGATCCAATTGTCTGGCGCGGTCTCATGGTCATGAGCGCAATCCAAAAGCTCCTCAGACAGGTGTGTTTATTGTATGTGTGAGTGTTTATGTCTGTTGTGGTGCATATGCGTGTGTGTTTGTGTCTGCTTTCTCTGTTTATTTGTGTCGATGTCTGTGTCTTTGAATGTGGTATACACATGTGGATGTGTGTCTTCCCTCCTTCAACTCCACCCCCCCCCTGCTCCCCATCCTTGGTTCTCACGTGCCCCGCCTTGCACACGGCACCCACCACCACTGCCTGTGTCGCGCGCGCGTGTGTGTTCAGGTTGCGTGGGGCGATCTTGATGTGCTCGTGATCGACATGCCGCCCGGCACCGGTGATACGCAGCTCTCCATCGCGCAGCAGGTCCCCGTCGACGGTCCGTGCCACAGTTGCAGCCGTGGCGGTGGTGGTGGTGGTGGTGGTGGTGTGTGTGTGTTTGTGTGTGTGTGTGTGTGTGTGTGTGTGTGTGTGTGTGTGTGTGTGTGTGTGTGTTTGTGTCTGTGTGTGTGTGTGTGTGTGTCTCTGGCTGTGTCTGTGTTTGTGTTTGTGTCTGTGTCTGCCTGTCTGTGTCTGTCTGTGTTTGTGTGCGTGCATTCAACTGCTCACTGCCATCGTCCACCGCGCTGTTACGCCGTTCTCAGGCGCTGTGATCGTCTCGACCCCACAGGACCTCGCTCTCCTCGACGCTCGCCGGTCTGTGGTGGTGATGACGACGATGAGTTTTCATGATGTGGAAGACATGGTGGTTGCAGGTTGTGGTGCATGGCTCATGAGCGATGCTCAGAAACGGCAGCAGGTGCTCTCAGCTGTGTTCACTTCACCTGACAGCACTATTTCATACACACACACACCATCACACACACGCACCATCACACGCATACCATCACACACACACGTACACGCATACCATCACACAAACGTACACACCCTGTCAACACGACGGCGTTGCAGTGGCGTGAACATGTTCCGGAAAGTGGACATCCCTGTCCTCGGCATTGTGCAGAACATGTCACACTTCCTCTGCCCAAACTGCGGGGTGCGTACACGACGTGTGTATGTTTGTGTGTGTGTGTGTGTGTGTGTGTGTGTGTGTGTTTTGTGTGTGTGTGTGTGTGTGTGTGTGTGTGTGTGTGTGTCTTTGTATGCGTGTGCACATACTTGTGTCATATCTTCTTCTGCTCCCTGGATCTGCTGGCTCATCTCACGCTGAAATCACCACCATCACCACCACCGCCACCACCATCAGCACGCCTCGTCCATCTTTGGGTCTGGCGGTGCACAGGATCTTGCGGACGAAGTTGGCGTCGACATCATTGGTCTGTCGTCCATCACGATGGTGGTGATGGTAATGAACTCAATGGTGGTGGTGCTTCCATGTGCATGCAACCTAGTGTTGTGTCCCTTAAATCCCCCCCCCCACACACACACACATTCCTTCATGCAGGCGACCTGCCGCTGGATATGGACATTCGAACGCTTTCCGACGAAGGAAAGCCAATCGTGGTTGCACAGCCAGAGAGCAAGCAGGTACGCCAGTGGTGTGTGTCTGTGTGTGTCTGTGTGTGTCTGTGTGTGTCTGTGTGTGTGTGTGTTTCGTCGGCTCAAGCGGCAGGTGTTGCAGAAGCGGTGTCAGCGTACATGTTAACGCCCTAAACACACACACACACACACACACACACACACACACACACACACACACACACACACACACACACACACACACACACACACACACACACACACACACACACACAGGCGGAGAGCTATCGAGTATTGGCGCAAAATGTGCTGTCGCGTCTGCCCGAATACGTCGACCGCTTCGCACCAGACACACACGCGCACACACGGGAGGGAGAGGGGAAGCAGTAAGGTGGTGCTATGGTGATGTTGAGTCGACTTTCGCTGTGAATGAGTGTGTGTGTGTTGTGATATCGTGCAGCAAGGCACCGATGATGAGAACTTCTGTTATTGTCGAGAAACACGCATACACATCACCAATAAGCAAGCATGCTTGTCAGCAGCGTACCAACAACGCACTGACAACAAACGAGGGCGCGAGGATGACAACACAAGACGACAACCAACAAGGAGGGCACAGGCATGCGATGACATGATGATGAAGAAGCGAAAGAGGAGAAAGAAGAAGAAGAAGAACAACAACAACAACAACAACAACAACAACAACAACAACAACAAACGCCACCACCAAGAGACACTTCACCTCAGCCTGATATGCAGGAGAGGTTCACAGTGGCGGTAAAAATAACGCAGGAGAAAAGGGAAGAGGAATGCACGCGCGTGCCACAGACTGGAGAGGGTGAAGATGAATCTGCTGCTGCACTCATCACATCACGACGCCACGGCTCACGGCTGCGTCGAGGAACCCACAGCCACAACAGCCAACCTCACATCACACTATTCACCACCACCTGCCACCACAATCAACAGTCACACCACATGTACCCACCATCACACAGACACTATCCAACAGTCACAATAATCTCCGTTGCCATCAGGGGTAGTCGACGCGGCGGGTCAAGCGTGTGGCAATACCGTGCTTCCTGTCGGGCGGGACAAGCATGGTGGTAGTGGTGGTGGTGGTGGTAATGATGATGATGATGATGATGATGATGATGATGATGATGATGATGATGATGATGATGATGATGATGATGATGATGATGATGATGATGATGATGATGATGATGATGATGATGATGGTGACGATGATGATGATGATGATGATGGTGATGATGATGATGATGATGATGACTGTCGCGAGGACGATCGCCGTGCGAGCACATGGGCAACGCATTGGTGGGGAAGACACACGTGCACGAGTTGGAGCGAAACGTTTGACACAGAGGAAGAACAACAACTGGCCCGCAAGCATGCATACATCCAACACAACGCACGCGCAACACACACGCACGCACGCACACACACACACACACACACACACACACACACACATTCACACACACACACATGACACTCAGCGACATACGCGCGTGCGTAGTGTGCGACGAGTTCGCCAAGCGACGAAAACACTTCACGCTGGCCAGGGCAAAGCAGCGTCAGCTTTCCCTCGTGCGGATACACGCACTTGTCAATCGGGTACTTCTTCACAGCACCACCTGCGTGATGTGTGTTGTCATGCGTTGTCATGTGTGTGTTATGTAAGCATGCGTGTGTGTGGGCGTGTGTTGTGTGGGCAAAGCCGGTGTACAACATCGGATCAAACAACAACGACCAACAACGACCAACAACGACCAACAACGACCAACAACGACCAAAAGGCAATACGATGATACAGAAAGCGCCATCGCACCAGCAGCGACAATGAGGACATAGCAGCCGGGGTTGCTGGAGCTGAAGCGAAGGCAGAACAACCCATCAGCCATGCCTGCAGGCAACATTGAGCAGTTATGGTGGGACCGCAGCAGCATGAGGATGTGCACAGGAGGTTGGTGACTGGCAGTCACCGAGGGCAGATGGAAACGAACACGGAGGAAGCATTCAACGAAGTTCTCGCATCAGCACAGCAAAATATGCAGGAACAGCAATTGACACATGCGAGACAACCACACGAACAACACAGAGCACACGCCGAATGAAACACACACACACACACATGCTTACGTTACATGACACCACACGCAAATGCACCATCGTACAACAGGCTCACCATTTTGTTGCAGGAGGGATTCTGCAAGGCGTTGTGTCATGTTGGGCTTGATGGTCTTCTCAATCGCCTGCACTTGTTCCGGCTGCATGTACACATCGTCTTGCGCCTGCGTGTGTTGTGTGGAGATGCGTGCGTCGCGAGAGAGAGAGAGAGGAGAAACAGTGACGAGGTCTTGAAGTGAGCGCATGTACGTCAGCTGTCTTAGACATCTTTGCTTCATAAACACACACACGCACGCATACACATACACACGCGCACGCATACACACACACACGCACGCACGCGCACGCATACACATACACACACGCACGCACGCGCATATGCGCTTGCGCTCAAACTCACCCTGGCAGGCATCATGTATGTGCGGTCGGCGGTGTTGCCGCCGTGTCGGGGCGTCATGTACGTACGGTCGCCACCGCTATTGCCGAATCCAAAACCATCCTCAGCCTGGGCGTATGTGGCATCGTAAGCACCCTCCATCTGCGCATACACGGCCGGCGCCATGCCGTTTGGAGCAGCGTATGCCGAGCCTTTCTTTGCCCCTTGCACATTATCGTACTGCGCAACACAGAGAAACGTGCCAAGGGCCAACACGATAAGCGTCAGTGCTTGCCGTGCCACGTGCCACACAGCACGCATGTGGAACGACTTTTCACCATGATCGGCAGCAGTCACGTCAAAGAACAGTAGCAAACAACAATGGTGTCCGACATTCACTGCGACCATGCCTGTTGTCCCTGTGTCTTCACGAACAACAACAAGTGCATGGCGCCCCTTGCTTCAAACTCACCGTGCGCTGGGTACCATCGAGGTCCGCGTATCTTCACGCAAAGCAAACATACAAAAGCAGCGAGCAAGCAAGCGAGAGAGTGTGTGTGAGCGAGTGAGGGAAGGACCATGAGGTGGAAGAGGTATTGCTTCGCGCATGTTGTGGACAGCAGTGCAAGCAGGCAACTGCCAACGCATCACAAGGTGCAGACGCGCTCAAAACGCAAACACATCAACGCAGGGTTCCTTCATGCTCTTCGTATCAACAAACCACAACTGCATCGTACTCACTGGCTCTCCATGCTGAAGAGGGGCGGGACGAGGGCGTTGAGGTGAGGGAAGTGTGTGAGGCAAGGAGGGAGGACAAGCCAGCAATGGGGACGCACGCTGTGGCGGGGGGTGTGGGAAAGTCTTTCTTGCTTGTTGTTGTTGGGAGGACACGCAAGCCAAGCGCTTGAGAAAGGCAAAATTGTCTTTGGAAGGAGTGTAATGCAAAGGCAAATTTGCCTTCACAGAGGCGACGAAGACAACACAGAAGAAGATGAAGGGGAAGAACGGCAGTGCTGCTGGTGCTGATGATGTGAGTGATGGCAGCAGGCAAGAGGGAGGAGGAGGAGGGTTTGGTGTGGATGGAGCAGGACTCGGCGTGATTAGTTTCTACGTATCTCGGCACCCAACGGATGCGTGTGGGTCAAACGGGCTTCCCTTGACGCCAAACACCGTCCGTGTCTGCGGCAGGGCTCAGGTGTGTGTGTGTGTGTGTGTGTGTGTGTGTCTGTCTGTCTGTCTGTCTGTCTGTCTGTGTGTATGCGCCGTGTGTGCCGTGTGTCTGTCTGTGTCTGTCTGTGTCTGTCTGTCTGTGTGCGCCATGTGTGCCGTGTCTGTGTTGGCATGTGTGTAGTTTACTTTTTGTGCCTGGACAACCGTGTGTTTATGTCTCTGCTGGTATGTGTGTAGTTACTGCCCTTGATAACCGTGTGCTTGCATGCACATATGCCTCATTTGAACACGTGCTGGATCCCACACGCATGTTGACGCCACACCGACGTCTGCCTCGTTTGGCAGTCGGTCCTCAGGCTGTCCCATCCAAACGTCGCCGAGTACGTGGCTGCGGAAGTTGGCGCTGGCGGTGCGTATCATTTGGAGCTGCAAACTTGCATGCTGCGTGTGCGTTCTCGGTGTCCTCTGTGTCTGTGTGTCTGTGTCTGTGTGTGTGTGTGTCTGTCTGTCTGTCTGTGCGTGCGTGTGTGTGTCTATGTTTGTGTGCGCGTTCTCTGTATGTGCGTCCTCTGTATGTGTGTCCTCTGTATGTGTGTCCTCTGTACGTGTGTTTGTGTTTGTGTGGTGTGGTTGCCCATGCAACACAGTTGCACCACACATTGCCACTTGGCAATCTGTGCTACTGTTGAACGCACTGATGGCGTCGAAATGGCTTGGTTTGTACCACCAGAACGGTTGTTCCTCGTCTCGGAGCACTACAAACGCCATGTTGGCCATATGATCCGCGAAGGCAGCGCCAAAAGGTGAGCCTAGATTACTTCATCCCATCTCATCTTCATTTATGCACCGCCCATGGCACTCGCGACAAGGTCATGTGCAACAGCAACAACAACACCAGCAGCAGCAGCAGCAACAACAACAACAACAACAACAACAACAACAACAACAACAACAACAACAACAACAACAACAACAACAACAACAACAACGAAGAAGCCCTCTCCAATCACCATTACGTTACTACTCGCACTATCCCCACTGCGCACTCAAAGCACGCTGCCCTCCCCAATGCGTTGCTCGGTGAGCAGCTTTGACCAGGTCAAGGACATCCTACATGGCACGCTAAAGGGGCTGGCGTATCTGCATGCCTGCGGCATCGTGTCGCGCAACATCAAACCCGAGAGCATCTGCCTCACCTCCGCGCTCCAGCCCAAAGTTGCCCAGTACGCCCTCTTCCACATCACAGACTGCGGCGCAGCCGTCGACTTTCCCATCGGGTACGTGTGTGTGTGTGTGTGTGTGTGTGTGTGTGTGTGTGTGTGTGTGTGTGTGTGTGTGTGTGTGCCTGTGTGTGTGTGTGTACCTGTGTCTGTCTGTCTGTCTGTCTCCTTGTGAATTGTGAATTGTGATTCCCCGCCTTCTGACGTCCCTTCGAACGTGCTGTTGCATCGTTGCTCTCGTCATTGTCTCACGGTCAGCTGCGCACATGCACATAAAACAATACCACGCACAAACAACACATCTCCAGCTCGCCAGCGTACTTTGCACCAAGCGTGGTTGCCCGCGGTCCCCAGCAACGGCACGTGGCAAACCCGAAGGACGACGTCTGGGCAGTCGGCATCATTGCGCTCGAGCTCCTCACCGTAAGCGCACATGAACACACGCACGCACACACACACACACACACATGTGCACACACACATGTATACACACACTCTCTCTCTGTCTCAACTATTGCTGACGCTGCTCTTGCTATTGCTCTTCGCCACCATCACTACCATCACCACCATCACCATCATCACTGTCACTGCAGGGCCAGCGGGTGTGGAGCGACTGCCACGTTGTGCATCGCAGCCGCGCAGCCACTGGCGCCCACACCACCACCATGTCGGCTGATGCCCGTGGCAACCGTGCTGGCGACAGCGGCGGTGGTAAGGAGGAGAGGCGTGGTAGTGTTCGTGGTGGTGCAATGGCTGTGTCACGCGTCCGTGTGGACGTCAGCGCCGTCTGCAAGCGGCTGTACAAGCTGGCAACTAGGCCCGCCACCTGCGGATACAAGGTGCCTTGTGTGAAATTGCGTCTGTGTGTGTGTCTGTGTGTGTGTGTACGTGTGCATGTGTGTGTGCGTGTGTGTACGTGTACATGTGTGTGCGTGCGTGTGTGTGTACGTGTGCATGTGTGTCTTTACGTGGCAGCGCCAACCTGCGTTAGGTTTCATTTTTCGCCGCGCATCCCACGTCCGCCCCCTTCCACTTCTCCTTCGTCTCACCGCCATCATCATCAACATCACCGCCACCATCGCCATCACCATCTTGACCTCTGCGCAGGGTCCCACTGCCAGCCGCTCTGATGCAATTTCATATCTCCGGACATTTGTTCCGCACACTTCTGCCGCCACTTTCGAATCCATTCCCGATGATGTCATTGCGTTTGTGCACGCATGTCTTGCCCCAACTGCCAAGCTCAGGCCAACAGCAGGTGTCGTGCGCGCGCATGTGTGTTTGTAGATCTGTGTCTGTTTCTGTGACTATATGTCTGTGTCTGTGTCTGTGCCTGTGCTGTGTGTGTAGATCTGTCTATCTGTCTGCCTGTCTGTCTGTGCCTGTGCTGTGTGTGTAGACCTGTCTGTCTGTCTGTCTGTCCGTCTGTCTGTCTGTCTGTCTGTCTATCTGTCTGTGCCTGTGCTGTGTGTGCTGATCTGTCTGTGTGATATCCTTGGTTATTTGTTTGTACAATACCGTCACACTGTTGCTTATGTGTTCACCACCACCACTGCCGCCGCCGCCACCACCACCACCACCACTATCAGGCGAGCTTGCGCGGCTGCCTGTGTTCCACAGCGCGGGTGCCGTGTGGACACCGCAGCCAACGCCGGCCCTCCGCTCCTCCCGTCCCCCCGCCACCATAGTCGCACTTCGCCAGCTCGCACAGCCGCACCGCTCAACCCACCGTACGCGCCCTCGCATTGCCTCCCTCTGTCTGGTCTGTCTGGTCGGTCTGTCTGTCTGTCTGTCTGTCTTCGATTGTGTCTGTTGCTGGCGTTCGTGTTTACTTTCTCGCTTGCATGCCCCGACCCAAAGCGTCCTTGCACTCACCCTCCGGTCTCACTTTCATTGTCCTCCTCTCCCCTCCCCTCCTCTCGTCGTCGTTGTGGTGCCAGTGGAGGGACCCGCGCAGCGAATTGTCGACGAATTTGCACAGCGCGAACACAACCCGCTCCGTGGCATGTACGTGGTGGCGTGATGGCACGTGCAGATGAGGAAGGCTCGAGGAGTGAGATACTTGGTGGGCAGTGAACAACACACACACAAACACACACACACACATACACATACATACACACACACACGAGAGGTATTGAGAAGAGAGACAGAGAGACTGTGAGAGAGAGTGAGAGACTTGGGGTGACGCCTTGGTGTATGTGATGTGAATGTGATGCATATTCTCGTGCGATTATGCTCTTTGCAAAGCGGTTATGGAATGGTTGCATGCTCCATGCGCACTGTGTTTGCACACTCACCTGTCAACAGTTCTGTGTACGGAATCAACCAGCCAACGTCCCGTTCTGCAGCCACCCAAGCAACCCACACCACACCCTCACACTCCACCCACCGCACCCCCATCCCCTTGTTAGGCCATTGAAGGACGTGTACTACCTGTGGACGCTGACGGGCGTGAGTCTTGAGCGGCTGCTGAGCACACACGGTGGCGAGCAGGTCCACCCCTCCATCCACCGCCTCCCACGGTATGGTGCGCTGTATTGCATGGTGGTGCTGGGCGGAGGGAAGGAAGTTGCGGGTGGGTTGGCTCGCTGGTTGGTCCATTCAAAGGACGTCGAGACGCAAAGAGAGGCCTGTCATGTGCACACTTATACACGCTTGTCCTCACATACGCACACGCACACACATACACACACATTATTGATTGGGTGCAGGCTTGTGCGGCTTGGCCTGCCTGAAATTGGGGCAAAGAAGGACCCTTCGTTTGACTTTGATGACACTCCAAGAACCATCGATCTCTCAAAGGTGTACTGTTTCATGTGATCCTCTGTGTGTGTGTGTGTAATGTTTCTTCGAGTTCACCATCGTAATCCATAATCTCATCACCCATCGTTGCGCTTGTATGCATGTGTGCATGTCTGCATGTGTTTAGATTTCGGCGCGGTTGCTGGAGGAGGGCGTAGATCCGTTTCCGCTCATCCTCACCGCGAACGAAGGCATTGCGCAATCGTAAGTACTCAACATGATGATAGTGGTAGTGGCGGCGGGCTGTTACTTGTTATGTTGTGGTTTGTGATTGGTGGTTTCCCCCCCCCCATGCATTCGCACACAGACATGCACATATTTACACATGCTCACACACGCACATGCACACACACGCACACACCATTCACATTCACGTTCACACCAGGGCCGCGTTTAGGAGTGAGATGACAAAGCAGCCGCTGGCGGTGCGGGAGCGAAACCTCCTGTATCAGGTGTGAAATGTGTCGGTCATTCACTGCGCTTTAAACACAGGGTGGTGTATGTGCTCGGTGGCTCTGCAGTGGCAGCCCGCGTGCTTGTTCGCTCGACTGCGTGCCAACAGACATGCGGTGTTTATGTCTGGAGCTTGATAACCCTAACACCTCCACCACCCTCGCCACCGTTGATCTTGCCACCTCCACCTCCATCACCATCACCATCACCACCATCGCCAGTATGAGCGGCTTGTGAAGATGAGTCGGCTGCTCAGCGGCCACCCGTACACACACACGGCGCTGTCGGAGGAGGCCGCTGTCGACATCCCACCCCACGTATGCACTGCTCACACACGCGCACAGCGCACGAGAGAGTGTTTGTGTCTGTCTGTCTGTCTGTCTGTCTGTCTGTGTCTGTGTCTGTGTCTCTGTGTGTGTGTGTGTGTGTCTGTGTCTCTGTGTGTGTGTGTGTGTGTCTGTTTGTCTGCCACACCACCATCCACGACGCTTCCTTTCGCGGTGCTCATTCACACACACACACACGCCTGTGGCTTTTTTTTTTTTCGTTGCCTGCAGGCACGTGCGCGGGTGTGGGCAGCGCTGCTGCGTGTTGGCCCACAGCGCATTGAGGAGTATGAACAGATTGACAAGGAATCGACGACAGACACAGACCACCAGCTGGATGTCGACATTCCAAGGTGGTGGTGGTGGTGGTGGTGGTGCTCGCATGGACATGGAGATGCGCAGTTTTGTGTGTGTGTGTGGGGGGGGGTTGTGTGTGTGTGTGTGTGTGTGTGTGTGTCTGTGCGTTCTATCTGTGTCTGTGTGTTCTGCCTGCCTGCCTGTCTGTCTGTACGCGCACTTGTACTCGGCTCGTGCTTGTAGCTCTGCTCTCACGTTTGTGTTTCCCACGTACGTGATCATCTGACGTGTCCCCTCCCACGAATGAATGCAGATGCCACCAATATGACCTCCTCCTCTCTTCGCCGGCAGGTACACACTCGCAGCGACGCCATGCAGGGACACTGTGACAGCGACAACGACATGCGTGCACGTGATCACACACACACACACACACACACACACTCTCTCTCTCTCTGTTTTCATATGCACACTCGCACACATACGCTCACTCTGACAAATGGTGTGCACACCCTCACACGCGCCTGAATGCACCTTTCACTTTACAACCTGACACTCACGCTCACTCTCGACTTCACCACTGCCACCTACCACCTGGTTGCATCGCCTCTCTGCTGCTGTCAGGCCACGCTGCCCTGAAACGCGTGTTGAAGGCGTGGATTAACACACACCCGCACCTCGTCTATTGGCAAGGTTGTCCTATTGATGATCATGATGGTGATCATGATGGTGATCATGATGGTGACCGTGGTGGTGGTAATGGGTGGTGCTGTTGGGTGGTGATGATGAGTGGTATTCTTGGTGCGAGTGGCAGCAGCCGTGGTGACCCCTTGCGTGAATGCAAACATTTCCTTTACGCGTTGCATCTCACGTCTTTCAACTCCATGCGCAATGTTGTGGTGTGTGTGTGTGTGTGTGTGTGTGTGTGTGTGTGTGTGTGTGTGTGTGTGTGTGTGTGCGTGTGGTGTGTGGATGGTGCTGTTTTCACAGGGCTGGATTCACTCTCTGCTCCGTTTGTGCGACTCAACCTCACGAACGAAGGTGTGGTGCTTGCTTGCCTTTGCTGCTGTCGAGTTGAGAACGTGCCAGCACACGCTATTCCTTTACCACCGCCTGTGTTTCTCCACCCGTCATCTCCTGTTTGTTCTCAATCCTCCTCATGTGTGTTACTACTCAAGCGCTCTCACCACCATTTCCTTCATCACCACGGATATCGTACCACTGCTACCACTCTTACCCGTCACCATCACCATCGCCACCACCACCATCACCATAATAATACCACCACCACCATCAGCTGTTGCGTACGGCTGCCTGGCCCAATTTGTGGAGCTGTACATGCCAGGTCTCTTTGAGAAGAACAACACAACGGTACGCGAGCACTCAATGCGCGCGCGCGCGCGCGCGCGCGTGTGTGTGTGTGTGTGTGTGTGTGTGTGTGTGTGTGTGTGTGTGTGTGTGTGTGTGTGTGTGGTGTGGTGTGGTGTGAGAGACAGAAGCATGCTCGCAGAGACAGGGAATGGTGTATACACACAGCACACACGCATACACAAACAAACAAATGCTTGCACACTCACACTCTTCCATGCACGCCTATTCTTCCTCCTCATCCGCACGCTCCATTCCAAACTCAACCCTCCCCCCCCCCATCTGTTCACCAGGTACTGAATGAGGTGATGGCTGTCTTCTGGCAGCTGCTTGCATACCACGACCCAGACCTGTGGACGCATCTCGAGGACATGTGTTTCAAACCGGACCTCTTTGCCATCCCATGGTGCGTTGCTTGGTTGGATGATGGGGTGGGTTGGCTGGTTGGTTTGGTGAACTCAGCTGGCTGGCTGGTTGGTTGGTTGGTTGGTTGGTTGCAGGGACTTGTTTGTTTGTATCAGTGTGATTGCGTTCTTGCCACGAGCCTGTATTCCTTGCGTCTTCTTTTAGTCCATTTTATTTTTCGTGCAATTCACCCCCGCCCGCCCCCACTACCTCCACTCGTTCGCTGCTGTATTACATCATGTCAGGTTTCTCACGTGCTACGCGCACGTGTTTTCGCTCGACAAAATCTTTATTCTTTGGGACACACTACTCCTCTCGCCATCAGCCATGATTCTCTGTATTGGTCAGTTTTGAACATCGCAAAGTGGCTGGTAATGTGCACATATGTGTGTGCATGAGCCTGTGTGTGTGTGTGTGTGTGTGTGTGTACCTGTGCTTGAATTTGCCTTCTTTGTTAAAATAATGGCTATCACCGTTGCACTGATGTCTCGATTGCATCACGACAGGTGTTGCAATTATGAAGCAGCTGCGCGCACAACTGTTATCCTTCGATTTTAGCGAGTGCATTCTTCACTTTGGCGACTCCCCTGATGTGGTGCGCTCACTTACCCCTTGCTTGTTGTTTTGTTCATGCGTTTGTTTGTTTGTTGATTTGTCTCTGTGTGGCTCTGCCTGCCTGCCTAGCTGCAGACGTGCATCATCTGTTGTACGTTCGAGGGTGAACCAGACACTGTAGGATCACCACATCCACGACCCCCCTCAACACTCACACGACGAACGCACGCACGCACACACACGCACACACACACACACACACACACACACACACACACACACACACACACACTGCTGTTGTCAGGACATTGACACGACGATACAGACGGCCAAAGACATCCTTGACGCCACACCCTCCAGCCTGCTCGCTCGATCCGCTGTGCACCCGGACCACCGCACATGGGTACGCCCGCTACCATGCTCGTGGTCGTGGTCGTCGAAGGAATTGCTCATTCGCAACCGATAATGGGTGATTTGTCAATATGTCTCCTGCTCCCTCCCCCACCACTCGTTGGACTTATGTCTTCATCACAACTCACCACCGCCACCACTTCCACTCACAATTATCGCCGCCGCCGCCGACGCAGGATGAAAAGCATGTAGTGCCGCCCCTTGATGAGTTGCGCAACAACAGTTCCCCAACCCTCTCCGTCCACGAACTTGAAGAGTTTCTACCAGACCCGCGCGGACAGGTGGGCCGGCAGTGCACGTGGATGTGATTGATTGGTGAAAGGAGGGGAGGACGTGGGAAGAACTCTGGTGTGGTTGGTCTGGGAGGGGGTGAGGTGACGTGTGGGTGTGGCGGTGACAGTGCACGTCTGCCAACACACACACACGCACACACACACACACACACACACACACACACACATACACACATACACACACACACACTCACACTCACTCACTCACTCACACTCACTCACTCACTCACACTCACTCACTCACTCACTCACGCACACATCGCGCCAATGACACGCGTGTTTGTACAACCACCATACACATTCACACACTCCACCGCCCACTTTTGGTCTTCCAATTCACATCACTGCTACAACTGCTTCCACATCGTGACCCCTCTCCACCTCTCCACCGTCTTCATCTCTCCGCCCTCTCCACCTCTGCTTTGTCTTCTGCAGCCAATTCCGCCAGAGAGCGCACGCGTCGTTGTCATTGACACGTGTCCACAAAAGTCGTTCTCCTATGGCCATTGCAACGGGCTCTGCATCAACTTTCCAGTCCAACTCGGTGCGCGTGCTTTTTGTCTGTGTGTGTGTGTGTGTGTGTGTGTGTGTGTGTGTGTTGTGTCTGTGTCTGTGTCTGTGTGTGTGTGTGTGTGTGTGTGTGTGTGTGTGTCTGCGTACGTGACAAATGACAGATCGCACAGCTCGCCCAAACCCCCACAGCTGTCTTAACACGAACACCATGACCAACTAACTACCCATACCTCCCCTCGATTTCTCTCTTCCCCCCCCGCCCCACCCCATTGTTCAATCACCTGCAGCCCTTGAGGATGAGTGCCTGCATGCAGCGTTTGAGGACGAGCTGTGGGAGCGCACAAACGGGCGTCCAATCGTCATTGTGGGCTCTCCACGGAACCAGGATGCGCCAAGGGTTAGTGGTGCTGGTGGTGGTGTTGGTGGTGATGATGATAGTTGTGATAGCTGTGATGATGATAGTTGTGATAGCTGTGGTGGTGGTGGTCATAGCTGGTGGCTGTTGGATGGGAGATGAGGCGCGATGGGTAGGATGGCGGTGGCGGTAGCGGGCGGTTTCAAGACAATTGGTGTTTTGCACTGAAGCGCTCATTACGCAGGAAAGTGGGTTGTTTTGCTTAATCCCCTCACCTCACCTCACCTCCCCTCACCTCCCTTCCCTCTCCATGTCATTGCACCGCCTACCCCGTGTCTTGCACACGATTCGTGCCTGCATGCACGCGCAGCTTGCACGTGCGTTGGTGAAGTGCGGGTTTCCGCGCGTGTGTCTTCTTGCTGGCGGTCTTGATTCGCTGCGCCGTCGCGGGCTCCTTGAAAACAAAGACCCAGACCCCGTCCTCGCCGCTGGTAGGGATGTGTGTGTGTGTCTGTCTGTCTGTCTGTGTGTCCGTGTGTCTGTCTGTCTGTCTGTCTGTCTGTCTGTCTGTCTGTCTGTCTGTCTGTGTGCCTGTGTGTGTCTGTGTGTCTGCGTGCCTGTGTGTGTCTGTGTGTCTGTCTGTCTGTGCTTGTCTGTCTGTCTGTGCATGCATACGCGTGTCACGTCCTCACACCGAGTCCCCTCCCCCCGACCACCTCGTCACATGTGGTGCAGTGCTCCAGCGCATTGAGCGGGATGCAGCGGCAGCGGCAGCCAGACGCAAACACACGCGAGCACCACCACCTGCATAGTGTCTGTCTGTCTGTCTGTCTGTCTGTCTGTCTGTCTGACTGTCTGTCTGTCTGTCAAAGGCTATGTGTCTTGTCGCTCGTCTGTCTCCCTGCTTGAACACAATGGTAGGATTTGCCTGCTTGCGATTGTATGGTTTGGTTAACAAGGAAGAAAGAGAGGAACACAGGTGTCAGACCTTCAGCATGCATGATCCGACACACACATGCGCACACACATGCACGCACTCATTGCCTCACAAGCACCACGTGCGTTCACTTGTCGTCCTGCTGTTGCTCTGGGTTCTGGAGCTGATCAATCTTTGCAATGAGCTCGCGTGCGTCTGGGATCTCATGTGCCGCCCGCTCGTAGAGGGCACGCGCCGCTGCGAGGTCCTGCTCGCACCCGCGGCCTTGCATGTACATGTTGGCGAGGTTGAAGCAGGAGTGGGCAAAGCCCTGGCCCGCCGCCTTCTCAAAGCACTTTCGCGCCTGCTCAAACGACTGCTGCACCCCCTTCCCCAGGAAGTAGTGCGTGCCCAGGTTGTGGTGCGCAAGTGGGATGTCTGCCTCTGCCGCGGCCTCCTTGTTGAGCTGGAAGGCCTTGTCAAAGTTCTGCTCTGTTCCGTGCCCGCTGTTGTACATGGTGGCGATGCCCACCTTTGCCCACGGGTCGCCCTTGTCCACCGCGTCCTGGTAGTAGTGGAAGGAGAGGTCGTTGTCTTGCGGCACGCCATGCCCAACGCGGTACATCTCAGCGAGGGTGGTGGATGCCTGGGCGAGGCCACGATCGACAGCCAACTTGAGCAGCTGCGCCGCCTTTGGCGGGTCCTTCTTGATGCCGTTGCCCGTGAGGAACATGTTGGCCAGCTGGTACATGGACAGGGCATGGCCCTGCTTGGATGCTTCGCCGAAGAACTTGATGGCTGCCTCCGGATCACGCTCCATGCCCTGACCTTCCAGCGTCAGCACGCCAAGCGAGTACTGAGCGCTGACAGCCAGTGCCGGGGTGTCTGTGCAGCGCTTCGCCACGTGCATGAGCACGGCTGCGCTTGCGGGGCGCACGGTTGACAGCCGGCCATCCAGGCCCAGGATGTCGTGTGCCAAGCCCAGCTTCATCTCGCAGTTGAGCCCGCTCGCCTGGAGCGCCTTGTCCACTGAGCCCCATGTTGTCTCATCGCCCACACGGAACGAAGCGTCCACGCCGCGCAGAGCAGACAGCACATCTTGCACGTTCTTGCACCCGCGTGCCACCGCTGTCGTCTGCAGCTGCGTCCACGCCATAGGGTCGCCGGCCTGCGGATCCTGCTCCTGCTGGGTTGATAAAGCTCTCCGCTGGCCCCAAAGGACTTGTTGCTGTTGCTGGTGGTGCAGCCGGACCGCTGCAGGTGCTGTGCTCCTGCTGCTGGTGCTGCTGGTGCACAGTGCCAGGCACCTTGCCCGCACTGCGCTGCTCATCAGCCCTCGTGCTCGCGCCATCGCCGCCATGATGGTAGCACTTGCGGTTTCGCTATACGACACCATTAAATGTAGTTGCATGTCGACCGCTCCCACGACAACGCCAACCAACCGACTACATCCACGACAACAAGCAAGAAACACGAGCAGCGACACACGGACGGATTTGTTGGGAGACAATGGGAGCCGATGGTGGCACGATCCCTACAAGGGATGAGCTGGTCAAGGTCAAGAAGAAGGACGTCAAGGTATGGAAGCCATATGTGCACGTGTGTGTCTGCGTATGTGTGTGTCTGTGTATGTGTGTGTCTGCGTGTGTGTTGCGGCATGGTTGCCTCAAGCTCAAAGCACACACAACAGCAACGACGACAACAAAACCGTCAACTCCCACATGTCAACCATGACAACAACTGCAACTTCAACCACAACTCACACTCACGCACGCACGCACGCACGCACGCACGCACGCACGCACGCACGCACGCACGCACTCACGCGTGATTATTCTAGGAGGATCCGTCGATCAAGTGGGCCGCAAAATGGAAGCACTGCGCCGTGTCGTCGCAGCCGCTACGAGAACCCATAGTCGCATGTGAACTGGGACAGCTGTTCAACAAAGAGGACCTGATGAAGGCGTTATTGGCCATCAAAGACAAGTCCATGGAGCGGCCAGCGGAGCTGAAGCACGTGAAGAAGCTCAAGGACGTGCACGAGCTCAACCTCAGACCCGTCACGCATTCGTCGTCCTCGTCATCCACCCGCGTGCGTGGCGTGGGCCTGGATGATGATCAGGAGGTGCAGTTTGAGTGCCCCATCACGGGCGTGCCAATGAATGGCCGCCATCGCTTCGTGTATCCCGTGACATGCGGTTGCGTCATCTCC